GAGTTTCAGTACTTTCTCATGTAATCCATGCTTAATTATAATTTTGACATATTATTGTTAGCCCATAGTAAGTGTCGCAGTTGACCCCTCGTCACTACTTCTTCAAGGTTAGACTGGGTACATGTTGTTTATGTACACACGCTATACTTCTGCACTTAAATGTGCAAGCTCTGAGGCAAGTGCATTTGGGCATCAGTCTGGCACGCACGCTTGATCCCGATTACGAGACTGCACACTGAGCTGCCCTTCCGAGCCGTTCTACAACAGCCGGAGTCTTTCTTCTTCTTTTTTTGTCATTGTTCTGTCTTCTCATTTCAGACAGTAGAGCAGAAATCTTTTGTATATTCTACTAGTAGCTCATACACTTGTGACACCAGGTCTTGGTACACACCATAGTAGACTTATTGTTTTGGCTTTATTTCTACGGTTATGAATGCAATTAGCTCCTTTCGTTTCAATTATCCTAAATCTGTTATCTATTAAATCTTTTAAATTAAGGAAAGTTATTTACTTTAAAAAAAAACTTATTAAAAATGGGAAATCACTAGATTGTTCACTGCTAGCTTGCCTAGCAACGGTATTGGGCGCCATCACGGCCTAGAATAGAATTGGTTCGTGACATAGAAGAAGCAGGTGCATTTTTCGCAGGTGCGAATGGTCGGATGCCTTGATGTTTCCACAAAAGTGAAGTTTTGGTCGCAGAAGCGACGCCGCAGAAGCAGTTATTGTTTCGCAGATGTGAAAATGCCTAGGCAGAAGCTATAAATCGAGGGTTTTGTTCATTTCAGCATATTTTGAGCTATGGAGCTCGGATTGAGGCGATTGTTTCACCGCATGGAATGGGGTAAGTGTTTTCTACTCGATTTTGGTTATATTTCATGAATCTATCTTCTTTTATGGCATTTGATTGATGATTTCAGGAGAGAAATTTGGGGGGGGGGGGGGGGGTTGTCTAAAATTTCATTAAGTGAATTTTTGAGTTTTGAACACCGATTCAGAGTCGGATTTGAGTAAAACTAGTATGGTTGGACTCGTAATTGAATGAGTTGTCAGATTTTGTAAGTTTTATCAGGTTCCTAGGTGCATGCCCGAATTTGACTTTTTGGTTGACTTTGGGCTTTTGATTAAAGATTCAACCTTTATCGATTGGATTTGTTTCCTTAGGCATTATTTGATGTATCTGAGTTGATTTTGTCTAGTTTCGAGCCGTTCGAAAGTTGATACACGCTGGATGGCGTTTCAAGAGTATTATTTGGCCTGCTCAGTATTGGATTTGACTTATTTGAGGTAAGTAACACTTCTAAGCCTAGTGATGAGGGTATGAACCTCTGAATATACGTGTTATGTGTTTGGTGTTGAGGTGACGCATATGCTAGGTGATGGGCGTGTGGGCGTGTACCGTGTGAATTATAACTCGGTTGATTCTGTGATGTTGTGTTGTGGCCTAATCTTGTTCCTATCCATAAAATTTCTACGTGCTAGAGTAATTGAGTTATGATCCATGTTAGAAACCATGTTTAGGTTATATGCTTATCCTGTTGGGATCCACTAAGGTCGTTTTTGCTGTTGAGTTATTTGTTTAAATTGAAATTACATACTGAGTCATATTTATTCATTTGCATATCATATCTCAGTCTTTATTATCATTTGTTGTCACATCATGTTATCATTGTTTGGGCTGATTGGCATGAGATTTGTGAGCCCGAGAGACTGGAGAGATTGATGACTGAGTGAGGCCGAGGGCGTGATTATGAGTGATATTTATGGGATTAGGTTGCACGCCATAACAAGATTTATTGATTCATGCCATTATTGGCTTATATTAGCGCTTGGACAGGATCTGCCCCTCCGAAGTATGACATACCAGTAGTAAGCGTAAGTACCTACTGAGTGCGAGTGCTGAGTGATTGAGAGTGTTGAGTGATTAGGAGGAGCTGAGTGATTGGGAGGTGCTGAGTGATTGGGAGGTGATGAGTGATCGAGCATGCTGAGTGAGGTTGACTACTCCGAGAGCATGACCACACGAGTTTATCATCGTGGTGCATTACTTTTGACATGTATACTTAGCATGTAGGCATAAAAATGTATTTACTCATACTGTACGGTATGGTGACATTCATGACTTCACATGCACATTGACATGTAGGCATAGAGATGTACTTTCCTCTTGTTATCTGATAATGAAATATCTTATCTATTGTTGAAAGCTTTTGAGAAAAATCTCAGTTTTTCTGACATACTCACATTTTGGTGATTTCGGTGAAATATTTGTGTTTTACTATTATACCTGAAAAGCATGCCTATTTTTCATAACTATGAACGAGCTGAGCATCATATCTATGAGTATTACTTGAACTGTTTTCATTATATTGTTACGAGTTGTTCTTAGGTGTTGGTGTTGGACTCTGGCCGTTGTTCAAGCCCGTCACTACTTTCAACCTAAGATTAGGTTTGTTACTTATTGAGTACATGAGGTCAATTGAACTCATACTACTCTTCTGCACCTTGCGTCAGATTTTGGAGCTAATATTGTTGCTTAATGCGGGAGCTGGTTTTGAAGATGTACCTGTGTTCCGGTTTAGTTGCCTCTTGTTTATGGTAGCTTTAGATTTATAAAGAATTTGTTTATGAATATTTTAAACAGATGATGTATTTATTTCATATAAGTTTTGTAAACTCTAAATCTTAGAAGCTCATGATTTATACTACCAGTCCTTGGAAGTTTTATATAAAAGTTCAGTTGTATTATGATTACTTCTCTTAGTAAGTCTCATTTGAATTGGATGGTTGCTAATTGGCTTACCTAGCGGTTGGGGGTTAGGTGTCATCACGACTAGTTAGATTTCGAGTCGTGACAGACAAAAGGAACAGAGATCTTCTACAAAAGTTTGAGAGAGGTTTGGGATTAAAAAGAATTACAATATTGCAAGTTTAAAGAGGTGCAAGCAATTTTATACAAGAGGAAGAAAATCTTCTCTAGAAATTGAAGAGAAGTAAAAAAACAATTGAAAGTTGAAGATATATGCTTCAACAAAAATTGAGCGTTGGTAACAAAGTGTATCAACGGGAGTTGACGACGGTTGATTCAACAAGATTGGGTGTTGGTGACAAAGTACATCATGCTTCAATAAAATTGAGTGTTGGTGACAAAGTGTATCAACGGATGTTGAAGACAGGTGCTTTCACAAAATTGGTTGTTGGTGGCAAAGTACATCAACAAGGGTTGGAGGCATGTGCTTCAACAAAAGTAGAAGTTGGAGAGAAGTGCTCCAACAAACAGCATACAACTTTGAATTACAAGAGAATATTAGAAAACTAATTTAAAGTTGTAGTAGGAAACCTTAATTATTGAGGATATGGTTTATTTATTTCATGTCTAAATATGATTTGTAGGCAGAATTATATAAGAATATATTTTCATGTTTCTAATTGAAATAAGTTTCGTACTATTATAAATAAGGGTATTAGTAGTTTATTTTATGTGTGGAGATTTATAAGAACTGTAAGGAAATTTCAGAAAATTATAATAAAATATTTTTGCTTCACTGGATTTTTCTCAAACAGTTTAACTCTTCCAAAAAGATGTAAGAACTTATTTTCTATAATCTGCTCGTGTGTCGTGCAGAGAAGCATGCACGGAATTAGGGTTGTTCAAAATCGAATCGAAACCGTTAACCGAATCGAACCGATGGCTTATTGGCTTATTGATATAGTATTATCGGGGTAATGGATGGTGAACGGATTGAGATTTTATAATTAACGGCTTAACGGTTGGGGGTGGATTACTCAAATTTCTTATCGGGTAAACCGTTAAGAATTGTTATATTTACACTTTTACCCCGATGTATATAAAGTACTATTGAAACCCTAAATGGCTAAATCCCTAATTTCTATTTAGAGAAGTCGTCAGTCTCGTCTCTCTTGAACTGAGAACTGAGAAGTCTAAAAATCGAAATCTCAATAATTAATACGTGTATGTCAGCATGAGTAGGCTTGATGGTATTAAAAAATTGGTTATACGTGTATGACAATATGAGTAGTCTTGAAGACTCTTCAATTAAAAAATACCGTTTGGTTAGATCTTAGATAGTATTAAAAATTTGGTATTGATTTGAAATTGGTTGGTATTGATTGAATGATTGTTCCAAAAAATTTTATTTGTTTTAGCCGATAATCGTCCGATAATTGTTAATCCGATACCAATCCTCCCGTAGTCTTATTGGATGGCTAGCGTATTACTACATTTATAATTCGATAACCGTTAAGCCGAACCGTTAATCGTAATTATTCGCCCGATAAGCTTGATAAGCACCCCTACCCGGAATTATTCTTGCACCATTTAAGTTAAATATGGTCTTGAACATTATTCTGTTTTCCTCCTTTCTTTCGTTTTATCATCATCCTATACTTCGAATCTCAATTTAGACACTCAATCTTAACTAGTAATCGCATAGACGCATCCTCTACTTGACAGATAAGTGCATGTCTCCTAAACGCAAAATGAAGCGCGTAAAAACTACATGCTGATAATGATGTGTCCAAGGAAGAAAAAAAATATAAAGATCAACACAAGTAAAAAATAAGCGCGCATCATTAGAAAAAAATACAAATAAAACTACATGCTGATAATGATGTGTCAAAAGACAAATGGTAATGCTAGTTATCTATTAAGAGTATTGTATCATGTTAATCATATTAGTCATTCTGAATATTAAGAGGGGTCGGTCAAATATTATAAATGTCAGAATACTTAGCTATTACATTTTTATAACATGTCAACCAATTACTAATTATTTTGAGTCATATAAACTTAAAAGTCTAATCCATTTTAGAAATTTTATTATTTTACTAAACACAAAAGAAGAAGCTAATGAAAAAATATGGAGGAGCGAAGAAAAGGGGTGGAAATGGAAGAGATATTTCCGAGCTTGCAAACAGAAGCAAAATAGTGCAACTAAACTAAACACCTTCATAATACTTCTTGATTTATTTCTGGATTATTCAAGATTCAAACCATAATTACTACAAAAGTTATTAGGTTCAAAATTATTCAAATATGAAATTACAACGTGAGGAAATACAACACTCTAAAATGAATATATTACAGGACTCCAAGTGTAGGGTCGACTTTATTAAAAAGAAAAATAGGTAAATAAAAAGCTAACATATTATCTTGCAGCTTGGAAAGACCACCATATTAAGAGATGCTAACTTTTATGTTTCCAAAAATGTGTTCTTAATTTTGTTAAGCCTCTTGACTACATCTTTCATGGATATCCTTGATTCTGGCTTTTCCTTTGTGCAATCTAAAGCCAACTCTATTATGGAAGCTATGCAGATTTCACTTTGGCAAGTGATTTGCTCTCCCTCGTGAAAAAGATTGGCATCCACAACTTCCATCACAGTTCTTGGAAATGCTCGTTTTATCCACCGCCTCAAACAAAGATTTTCATTGAATATCTCTTCATCAGTTGGTCTTCTTTTTGTCAAAACCTCCATCAACATGATGCCGTAGCTGTAAACATCACCACTAGTAGATACTATTCCCTCCGAGCCAAATTCTTAAAAGAATGAAAATGAAAAAAAATTACTCATCCGATACATGACAATAATTATTTATAAAATAAAGAGTTGGCTTTTTAACTTCTAGAATTTGGAAAGTCTTAATTATGATAAGATAAAATCAAAGAGAACGGGAACTTAGTATACGTACCTGGTGCAATGTAACCAAGAGTGCCTAATGTCTTAGTATGTGCCATGGACTTGCTTACAGCTAAAATTTTGGAGATGCCAAAATCACTAACATATGCCACCATTTCTTCATCCAAAAGAATATTGGCTGGCTTTAGGTCGCAATGGACAATGGGGGTGTGATGACCGTGATGTAGGTATTCAATTGCCACAGCCACATCAAGCATTATGATGACTCTTTGAACAAGGTTCAAGTGAAAATCTTCTTTGTACAAGCAATTATCAAGACTTCCATTGGGCATAAATGGCAGAACAAAGGCTCTTATGTAGTCACTACAACAAGTAGTAATCACGGGGACAAGATTTCTATGCCTAACATTTCTTATCACTTCACATTCGGTATCAAACCTCTTGCATACTTCCTCATTTTGCAAATCCAGAACCTTTATTGCTACTACATTTCCACTAGATAACGTGCCTTTATACACGGAGCCAGATCCTCCCACACCAATTAAATTTGATCCATCAAAATTATTTGTTGCACGTTGAATCTCCCAATAAGAAACCAATTGATATGTTCTAATCTCCGGTACCTTCTCTACATCTTTGGACTTTTCTTTCTTCTGTCGTTTCATTATCCAAATTGAAGCCAACAAGAATATCACAAAGGATGAAGTAACCACTGGAACAATAATTTTCAGCAGATGTTTCTTAGACTTTGGATGATGTCTAGGATTGGTGATAGCGCAAGCAGGAACTTCCAACACGTGCATTCCGCATAAACCTTTGTTCCCTATGAAAGATTGGGGAGTGGAAGTTGCAAAGATACCACCATTGGGTATTTCACCTTCTAAATCATTAAATGAAACATTGATGCTTTTTAGGTATGAGAGTTTTTCCAATGACCTAGGAATTGTACCTGACAAGGCATTTCCAGACAAATCCAAGTATTCCAAGCTTATCAAATTTGCAAAGGATAATGGAATTGGGCCCGAAAATGAATTGTTGGATATGTTAAGAGACTTCAGGTTTTGGAGTGCACCAAATTCGCTTGGTATCATACCCGAAAAGTTGTTACCAGAAAGATCTAGTTCTACTATGGCCTTCAGTTCTCCAATATCCGGTGAAACTTGTCCCTCTATTGAATTTCGTGATACGCCTAGATAGAGAAGACCACTCATCTTCCAAATGCTCAGCGGAAACATTGATGAAAATTTGTTAGAATCCAAATAAAGCGTTTGTAACATGCTAAGATTTCCTATGCATTCTGGAACCACACCAGAGAGCTCATTATCTTGCAGATCTAATTGAACCAAATTAAATAAATTACATACTACCTCTGAAGTATGCCCATGTAATTTATTGTTATTTAGATATAGCCCTTGGAGCTGTTTAAGCTTACCAACTTCAGAAGGAATACTTCCCGTGAAGTTGTTTCCTTGAAAGTCTAAGGTTGTTAGAGCGGTCATATTGCCTATTCCTTTGGGGATGAGGCCACTGATGTGTGCATCTGCTATATCAAGGATTTCAATAGTAGATGAAAGATTCCCAATAGAATTGGGAAGAACACCATTCAATGGATTTAAACTCACTTCTAGCCATCGTAGCATCCTACAATCTACCAAAGAATTAAAGAATCGCAGCTCGTGTTCACTTGGTTCATTCGTAAGTTGATTATTACTTAGCAATAGTTCTTGCAGCTCCTGAAGATTTCCCAAATTAGTAGGAATAGTGCCTGTGAAAAAGTTATCAGTTAGCTCTAAGTGAAGTATGTTGGAAGCATTTATGATGTGCGGAGGAATTTCCCCTTCGAGTTTATTGCCTCCCAAGACAATTTCTTTGAGGTTGGGAAGATGAAGACCAGTAGTCGATGGAATTCTCCCTGAGAGTTTGTTGGAAGTGAAAGCAATGAACTCCAAAGAGGATATATTAAAAATATCCTTTGGAATTTGACCATTAAGATAATTCAAATCAAAATCTAACTCCCTCAAATTTGATAGCTTCCCTATTTCTGAAGGAATTGGTCCCTCTATGTGACTGTTTACACAAGAAAGATATTGCATAGTGGAAATATTGCCCAATGAAGCAGGAATAGTCCCACTTATTGGATTATCACCAATATATATCTCCTCGAGCTTCGCTAAACAACCAATATTTTTGGGTANATTTCTGAAGGTATTGGCCCCTCTATGTGACTGTTTACACAAGAAAGATATTGCATAGTGGAAATATTGCCCAATGAAGCAGGAATAGTCCCACTTATTGGATTATCACCAATATATATCTCCTCGAGCTTCGCTAAACAACCAATATTTTTGGGTATTTCTCCAATTATTTTATTGAAAGATATGGACAAAACTTCGAGCTCTCTGAGTTGGCAAATGTTGGAAGGAATGCGACCAGAAATTTGATTGTGAGATACACTTAAAAACTTCAGATTCGACAAAATATTCCCTTTACCGGACAAGAGAGGACCAGAAAGACTATTGTTTCGTAGATGTATGGCAAGTAGCGATGAGATGTTAAACATTGTTGCGGGAATGAAACCTGTTAATTGGTTATCAGTCAAGGAAAGCTCTGTAAGTTGGCTTAAATTACCAATCTCTTTTGGAATGTTGCCGTTGATTCCATTCCCTGACAAACTGAAGTTCAACAACCTTGTGGCATTTCCAATAGTAGGAGGGATTATACCTGTGAGGCTATTGTTGGTGAGATCCAAGACCCTGAGTTCAGGTACATACCATGGCCCTTTCCACATTTCACCACTGAATTTATTGAAAGCCAATGAAATTACTTGAACTCTCTGGTGTTGAAATAGACTTGTTGGAATATTTCCTTGGAGCTGATTGTTCTGAATATCAATCACTCGTAAGCGAGGCAAGTGGCCAATGCCATAAGGGATGCTGCCGTGGAAGTTGTTGTTCGCAAGATTGAGCTCTCTGAGAAAGGACAAATTGGCCAAAGATGGAGAAATTTTGCCTTGAAGATGCAAATTAGGAAGAGTCAAGGCCACAACTCTTTGCCTTTTGGAACTGCAAGTGACACCAAACCAAGAGCAAAAAGAAGTATTCCTTGTCCAATCCTTGGCCAAAAAAGGAGTGGGACTTGTAACAAGATTTTGGAAAGCTAGTAGAGCTTGTTGGTCTGTTTCATTTGAGGAAGCAGCTGATATTGAAATGGAGTAATATTGAAATATAAAGAAAAGAATCAATAAGAAAATGTGCTTCTCCATATACACCTCGAAACAAGACTGCTTCGAAAGGATTTGGTAACTTGATTTGCTTGGTTGCTAAAGTTACTCCATTATATAGCACCAAGAATGAAAACAAGAAGAAGAAAGCAAGAAAGAAATGGAAAAGGATAGTGAATCACTTGGAATTCCACAAAACGAGAAAGTTGACTAATACTTGACTTGACTCCACTTGGATAATTTCTACATTATAAGGAGGAGAATATATCGCAAAAAGCAAATGAAGAATCTGTCCACTGGACTCCACTTGGATTATTTCCACAAAACAGAAGAAAAGTTGTCATCTCGAATTAGAAGGAAAGAAATTCTTTTTAACGTGGAAAATCATCCTGGCTCATAAGTGTAAAAACCACAACTCACACCCCTATCGTCGATTGTTGCTAATCGCTTCAAGCTAACTGTAGCTTGAGTAATGTTCACTTCAAATTACAACCTCAGGTTTGCTTCTCTAAATAAGGTGAAAAAGGTTACGATTGAAAAGCTAATACATTCATTATGTTGGGCACAAAGACTCAATATGAATCTAAGAACAAACTTCCAACTTGGTCCAGATCACGTTCCACAGCTTTAGACTACTCTTGATGACTTGGACTGCTCTCTTGGTTTGACTATTTTGGACCCACATCCAGGAGCGTTCAAATATAACAAATCGATAATTCGAGTCGAATCGAAAAAAATCGATTAGTGATTTGGTTTAGTATTGAAAAAATAAACCGACCAAAATTGGTATGTTTTAGTATTAATCAAAAAAAGTCAAACCGAAATCAAAACAAACTAACCCGACATTATATGTATACATTTTTAAAAATATTTTATAGATAAAAATATTTATCATTATAAGAGAATGCTGGAATTCTTTGTTCCTGCACCCTCCACAATACAGCAGCACCTCGGAATGACAATAGTATTGAGATCTTATATTTTTGATTTTGCATTGGTTTAGACGGTAAAAATATATAACTTAGTATTAGTTTTTTCTTTAATGTTTTGCCATGTAATTAATCCTTATTAGCAATACTTATTTTAGCATGGGTTAATAACTTAATATTTTTATTCTATGTTCATTTTCTTTATGGCTTATTAGCAATAATTATTTTATGAGATTTTATGATCTTTATTGTTGGTAACACTATATTTTAATATAATGTAATGACTCATTTCGCATTTTGTGCTATTTGTTTTTTGGAACGCACCATATAATTGTGTTTTCTTAGTAGGACATAAGAAGTATTTAAAGCTCTTACCGGAAACCCCCGAAATAATTCGATTATTATCGGATATAAATGAAAGTTTTACACAAGGTATTAAACTCCTTAGTTAATAAATAAGCTAAACAAATATTAGAAGTAGCAAGCTATTATCATATTATGCACTGTAACCTACTGTTAATGAAAATTACCTTAGAGCATTTCCGCAGGGGACATTATGAAAAGCCACTCACAGATATGTTAGGTATCTAGGGGTGTTCATGAAAAAACGAAAAATCGAACCAAACTGAAAATTGAATCAAACAAAAACAATAGACAATATTTTGGTTTGATTTGATTGTGATTTTGAATTTTAAAAGTCGATCAAATTTGGTGTGATTTTTGTTTTAAATAAAAATAATTTAAAAAAATTCAAACCAAACCAACTATACTTAAAACTTATCAGTACACACATATGTGTATATTTTTTAATAAATATTTACGGTACATATTAATTGTTTGCACTCTTGGTTTATAGTCTAGTTCTTTGCAAATATAGTAATCTAATTTTTTGAATTTATATTTTAGTTTGATTGGTAGTTTTTATTTTCCAAGTCCAAGCATCTATTTGACGTTAAAAATAACTTGTCTTTAATTGATTCCTTAAAATTCATCACTATTTAATTCAATTAACATTAAATATCTTGGAAGATAACATATTTTCTCAAAGAGTAATTGGTTTGATAGTGCTATGTTGAAATATCATCATCAAAATATGTATTTGGCAGGTATGTTTCATATTTAAGAAAAAACCGATAAAAACGGAATAAAACGACAAAATCGATAAAAATCGAACCAATAAAAACCGACTTAATTGGTTTGCTTTTGGTTTTGAAATTTAAAAAACCAACTTAATTGGTTTGATATTTTTTTTTAGAGAAAAACATATCCAAACCGAAAAATGGCCACCCCAATTTTACCCACAACCTTGCACTACTGCTTAAGCTTAATTTTGAGTACTACACTATGAAACAAAGAAAAAAAATACATAATTAGCCAACTTTATAAAGATTAGCACACAGCAAAGAGGTGTGGATGTATTAATTAAGATTAAACCTATCTATTTGAATGGTTCAGAACAAGTCAATATGAGTCAATCCTTACAAGCTAATAAGGATAAGGGTGTTGCATGACCTTTGTTCAAAGGCATTTGTCTTCTTTAATTGGATACTCTTTGTAGTTAATTTCTTCAAATCAATCAATTAACTACATCTTAATCTGATACTAATTGTTATCGATAATAAGAATCTTCATATCCATCCTTAAACAAGGTCTCACTCTCTCATTACACTCCCCTAATAAAGTGAGTCATATCCTTTCTTCGAACTTTCCTTAAGGAATAATATGCTAGATTAGAGGAGGAATAATATGCTAGAGGATTTGGTAGTGCTAAAAAGAAAGAGAAATGTAAGAGATTTCTTTTGACAATGTCGCATATTTCCTGTTTTTAGTCGTCCCTTAGTTAGAAGCTACTATGCAACATCAGAAAATTGTTTCACCGTCGTCAAGATTGTAATAGAATGAATAAGATCTATTCACTTTTAATAAAAGGTTTCTTTTGACAACGTTGCAGATTGCCGCAATGTATTCCTATTTTTGGTCTTCCCTCAACTAGAAGCTACTGGCTTTAATTAGAAGATTGCTCCACCAAAGAATGCGTTACGTATGTACTAACAATTGACTCGACTTGACTTGACAACTTGGGTTATTTCCATAAAATAGAATAAAAGTCCGTCCACTTGTTTTAGAAAGATTGACCTCACAAATTATGCCCTTTATAATTTATATATGGTTCAGGATTCAAAACCAAGTGAATATGAGTCAATTTTCTAGTCAAGCTCACCTTTTAATTTATTTCCCTTGCATTATAATGTGCAAAGTTGTTATATAATTCTGTTCGTCTTATTGTTTTTTCTTCATATGTAATTTTTTTAATTACATTTATCGTACATTATTTTCTTAGTGTAAATGTTATTGCTGCCAGTGTTTATAATATCGGGACAATAATGGACATGGAATTAATAAGATAGAATTTTAGCAACTATGTTACAAATTAATAATGATACTCAATTCTTTTCCTTTAAAAAAAATATATATTATAGTTTCCAAAACTAGTAATCTATTGCCATATTGTTTTAACTAAAAAGAAATTCGCAAAATGCTTTAATTAAGTGGACGTGTAGAGTGGAGACCATCAAATAAAATAATTTATTCAAAATCTCATTGGTAAACAAGTTATGTGAAGCGCCTCCCTCTTTTGAGGTTTGGAGTTTGTATCTTCCATAGTTGGATACCTTTATGGCTTAAGAGAAACCACGTCTTTATTATATAACTAATTTAATCTCGAAATAACTAATACATTATTTATCCTCCGGATATAATTGTTAGAATCGAAATAATCATTGGCGGTTCTAAAATTTTAAATTCATAAGTGCTTAACTTTTTTGAACGTAAAGTACTATCAATATAAGTGCATAACTATATATTTGAATACAACGATTAAAAAATTAATAAGAAAACTCACAGTATATATTAATATGAACACCGTAAAACTGTGATGAATAACACAATTATGATCTAGACGAATTGTTGGGGGTTGAACTTTGGAGTCTATTTTTAAGTAGATTTTCTTTTTCTTTCTTTCCTATAGTGATTTAGATAAAGTACAAAATAGTTTTAAGAAAAAAGTAAACAAAAAGTTAGCGGAAAAAATAAGTAGTATCATAATAGTCTCTAGTGGAAAGAACAAAAGTGCCTATAAAAAAGATTTGCTATTGATGTTAGAATCGAACTCCCGCTGCTCACTTTCTTTAATTAACTATTCAGCCCTATTTCTTGACCAAAACACCCATCAAATTTTTTGTCATCTATGTGCTTGTTAACTTATTGTATCCATTTCCTTAAGATTTCAATATAATTATGCGTGCTCTCTGTCAAGGTCAATGAGCACCCAAAATTAATATGTAGATCCACCCATAGAAATAATCAGGTATCACGCGAAAGCTAACAAAATATATCTTCAACGAAGATAAATCAGACAACAAAAGAAAAATATACAAAAAGAGTCACAAACATTTAATGTGGTTCGATCATTGGTCTACGTCCATATGCGGAGATGAGCAATCCAAGAGTACAAAATATCGAGAAAACAACCTTACAAATGACACATACAAGTCGCAGGCTAACACTTGTCTCAAAAGTTCTCCCCCTAAATAAAACTTTCAAACTCCTTGTGGTTACATTGTAGATGTTATTATATTAAATAAGAAGGAATGATCCTTAATTTATAGAAATTCAAAACTTTTTCCTCCAAGAAAAAGGACTAGCAAAATATAAAAGAATTGTGTTCCCTCCGTCTCATATTATCAGTCCTATTTACTAAAAATAATTGTCTCAAATTATTTGTCATTTTAGGAAGTTCAAGACAAAATTAATTATTTTTTTCCTATTTTATCCTTAGTAGTAATTATCCTTGAAGACTACAAACACCTCAATTATGGATAACTTTGTTCAAATACCCATAAAGAAAGATTAAATATTAAGACATGAATAAAATAGTTAAAATCATATACTAATTAATTTTTTAAGGGGCGTGTACAAAAGAATCATGACAGATAATTTGAGATGGAGGGACTAGTTTTCTTCTTCACCTTTTTAAAACAAACAAAACAAGTCTTTAATGTTGCAAGATGAATCTGCACCCTAGCAGCTGTAATTTAGATATAAGGTTCGAAA